TATCTATTGTGGAAGGAGGAGTTCTACAAGCAAGTAGATGGTGTGGCGATGGGCTCACCTGTATCTCCCATAGTCGCTGACATATTCATGGAGGACTTCGAGGAGAAAGCCCTTCTTACTGCTCCTGTAAATCCAAGATTCTACAAGCGGTACGTAGACGACACTTTCACAATTTTACCATCTGACAAAGTAACTGCATTTTTAAACCACCTTAACTCTATAAACTCTAAAATACAATTCACAATGGAGTTAGAGGCAAATAATTCTTTAGTTTTCTTAGATGTTTTAGTCATTCGAAATCCTAATAACACAATTGGTCACACTGTGTATAGAAAAAAGACCCATACCAACCGATATTTAAATGGTGAATCTCACCATCATCCTTCACAGTTGGCTACCGTGGGTAAATCTTTGTTTTAGAGAGCACGAGGGATCTGTGACAGAAAACATCTGGCCGCCGAACTTCCGCACGTCAAGCAAGTATTGCAAGACAACAAGCTTCGGGTCCCGCGCCTACGTCACAGTGACCGAGTGAAGCCGGCCACAGTCGAGCGTGTACCTGCTGTACTACCATATGTCAGAGGAGTCACAGACAAGGTTGGCTACATCTTGAAGCGAGCTTCTATTAAAACATACTACAAGCCGCCGAAGAAGATTAGTCAATTTTTACCATCCGTCAAGTGTAATATCCCTCTACAAGATGCAGGAGTGTACAAGTTAGATTGTGAATGTGGTCTCTCTTACATAGGTCAAACAAAAAGATCCATAAAAACCCGCGTTAAAGAACATATAGCTGACGTGAAGCACCGACGCGCCGGTAAGTCTGCAGTCTGCGAACATGTTCAAGATCGTCCCCACCATTACATTCGTTTTGATAAACCACACATTCTCGCAAAAGAACACCGATTCCCACCAAGGATGATACGCGAGGCTATTGAAATTAAAAAACATCCAAATTTCAATAGAGAAGATGGATGGGTGCTGCCACCTGCTTGGGATCCTATAATTAACAAAATTAAACCCAAACCTAAGCATACCACTGCAAGACATCATGATACTATAAGCTCGTTTTGCGTAAATCGGACCAAAAATTAATATTCAAAAACTGAAGGTAGCCGGACTAACTATGACATTGGGACGTCAAACATCTCAGTCCTCCCCGTGACCATGGTTGCTGTAAAGCACCCGAAACGTCGGGAATTAAAAATAAGTAAAAGTAGTGAAATAAACGCGATAAAATCCGTAAATTTAGTTTTTATTCAATATGTAGTGTTCGCGTAAATTTAAGAAATCATTAAATGTCTTTATCAGTATACTATAGCATTAAACTACGATGTAATGTATTTTATACAACGCGTCACTAAGAAAGCAAAATATAGGCGCAGTAAAAGAACAAAAACAATGGCAATATATTTACAAATTGTACATTTTACAGAAGAACGACTCTCTGCATCAACCACCAGGTCGTCACTCAATCTTGTCGATTGCTCTCGTACACTTGGCTAACCGGTACGAGTCTGCCACTCCTTCTCAGTCAGTTCTTGGTTCTTCTTGGTATATGCCCGATCTATATATCTCTATAAGTTATATATATAAGGACGTTTTTTGATTGACATACAAGCGAACGAACAATCTGGTGGTAGCTAGGAAGACCACAGACACGTTGTCACCTTTTTTATTATTGTGTACAATGACATGGTGTAATAAAATTAAAATTTTAATCTATGGTAACCGCGGTTAACTATGACATATGGACGTTGAACATCTCAGTCCTGCCCGTGACCATGGGTGCTGTAAAGCGTTCGAAACGTCGGGTATTTAAAAAGTTAAATATACGCGATAAATTCCGTAAAAACTAGTATTATTTCAATGTGTAGTGTTCGCGTAAATATAAGAAAGCATTTCGTTATTTTGGTTTTCTTACCAACCAGAATAGAAAAATGGGTGTAATGTAAACATTGGCAGAAATTGACAAGAGTGTTGTGCCAACCAAGCAAGACTACTAGAATAAAAGGAGCAATTACCGGCCGCTTATGCTTGACTGCCTCGTTGGTCTTGTGGTAGTATTTGTGTGACTTCGGACTATGAGGTCCTGAGTTTGGATCCAGGGTCAGGCCAAAAAATAAATTATTGAGTTTTTTCCGTCAAGAAATTCTCAGTAGCTGCCCGGGGTCAGAAAATTGGCAGTGTCTCACCCCCGTGCCTAGGAAAGCATGTAATGCCGTTGGACTTGCGCCAGATCTCTCTCCCGTCATGTCAGTTTACTATCCCATCGGATTATGAGATTGAGGGAATAGAGAGTGCACCTGTGTTTGTGCATACACTTGTGCACTATAATCCTGTTCTGGGTCGATGGCTAGTCTCCGTTAAAGCAGGCTGCCATGACCGAAATTCGGTTTGTAGGGTATTATTACTATTGATTCCAATATTTAAGCAACGATTTGTTTTTCATTACGATCCATTTTATTATAAACTAAATATTACTTTATTTTTACACGGAGTAATGCCTGCGCATGCCGGCCTCGAGGGGACAAGAACGAGTTATGTTGGACTTGCACCGACTAAAGCACCATGGTGATCCACCTTCGCCGGATATTGGCAGGGCCACGGCAATATTTTCACACATATAAGTGGCGCCAGCGTCGGGGGGATCAATCCGCCCGCTTCTCAGGTCAGGCTCACCAGCTTCCTGACCCCAGAGATGGATCTGGTCGATGACTCCACCGCCAACCAAGTTTTGGCTGCGATAAAGAGAGCGGTGCCTCACAATACCGTCACCCCACCGGATCAGCAGTGCGGCCCCACCAGATTCGCGGAGAATATGGAGAGTGGCGCATGGTCATACCAGCACTCCTATACCCCCGCGACTACAAGTCGGCTGCGGTGGTAGGGGAAGAGGATACACTTTTCGCGACAGTCTATCAACTCACATATGAAGCGGGCTTACCAAGCCCTCTCGGAGCCTCGGCCACCACGGGCTGGGCCTTCACCTTTTTTTTTTCTTTAAACGTTACCCCTACACTAGGATTTTCTCCTGTATCGTGGGGGCAGTTTACAAACATAAATTGCACAAGGACAAACATCCAGACCCGGAACAATTATTTGTAGGCCATACAAATACTTGTTCCGTGCGGGATTCGAACCCGCGACCCCCAGCGCAGCCACTCATTGCCTTGGGCCAGCCATGTGAGTTCCTCTTAATACACAAACAGTGTGAGTTGTCTAAAGCTGGTGACTATGGACGGTTAGTGTTCCTTCAGAGCTAGGCGTATGGGGAAGCTTAGAGTAACTTAGCGAAATGTGGAGGTGAAAGGGAGTTGAGTGGGAGTGAGGATATTCTTTGTGAAATAAAATCGTAAAAAGGATATCCGCAAAAAAGAAAAATAATTGATGTAGCCCAGCGGATCAGTAGTATAGTGGCAATAGACTGATGATTTATGTCGAAGCACTAAAGCTGTTGCGGAAGAAAGCTTCTTGAGTACTGACTCAGACTACCTCATAGCATAATAGTGATAGATCTAGTGACGACGTAATAGAATATGCTGGTGATTGTTGGATGCATGTGGCTCAGAACTAAACTATGAAGTACTATGAGGTGGGGCAGTTTTTTATTTTAAGCCGTTGCTAGATGCTACTGCACATCTTCTAATTTTTTCCATTTCTCGCTTCTTACGACAACTGAGGGATAATATTGGGTAGTAGATACTACACGGTAGTGCCATGCTGTAGTAAGTATAGTTGTAGCACGAATGGATCGGTCGATTGGTAAGGACCACGCTCTCACAGAATACCAGAGTAAAATAGCAGCTTAATTCTACTTGTGCTTCGTATGGTGAGTCTAGAGATCCGGAGATCCTTTTTAATATGTAAAGGTAAAAGTAAAGTTACAGCCTAAATACGTCCCATTGCTGGGCACAGGCCTCCCCTCATGTCTGAGATGGTTTTAGGGCAAGGAAATGTTCACCGCGCTGCCCCAATACGTGTTGGCGAACATGTGTTCGAAATATTTTCTTTCTTATTCCTCATACATGCAGGTTTCCTCACGATGTTGTCCTTCGCCGCCAAGCACGTGGTAAATCAGCACTTAAAATTGCAAATAACAATTTAATTTGCGCTCAACCGGGTTACTCGCGTTCTGTTATATTTACAGCGAGCGTTAACCATCTGAGCTACCACGGCTCTTTTTAATATGTGTTACGAATGAATGTGACAACGCATCTGCATTTTGTTTTCTAATCGAGAATAGACGTAGACGTTTGTGGGCCACAGCCATTAATAATCAGATCAATTGTGTGCTCCCTTGTTACTCTCATTCTATAAAAAAGTACTTAATATTAGCTTAGACTTCAACACACTAGCTAAAGAGTCGTTTTAATATTTAATTTTTACTCCATTATTGAGTTTATGTAAGATATTCAATTAATATAATATATTACGTTTTCACAATATTTTCGTATTGTCATCGACTGAATTGTATGGAAATAAGAACAGCGCCCCTAGCGGATGTAAATGGAACTGTGTAATACAAAGGCTCTCGATGCGGTAAGAATTCGATATGATAGAAAATTCATAATCAATGGTTTGATTGAAATATAAAGAAATAAAACTCCAAGGTAATTGTTTTATGACAACGATATCGCTTTATTGGACGTCAAAGACGGCAGAGGAGGAGGTCGCGCGCGCGGCCGGTGCGGGGGTGGTGGGCGTGTCTCTGTGGTCGCGAACTGCGCGCGCGCACCCCTCCCCCATGCTCTCATACGATACATACTCCACGGTAATAAATTATCATAAATAATAAATATCAACAAATTATAAAATAGCCTCCCAAAAAAAGGTAAGACTCTAATGTATATGTTTTTGGCGTTACAAAAAGGTATTGTTTTATTACAGTTTCTCGTTTCACGCTCTCGTAACACAATTTAAACTATGTATAACAATTTTAGTTACATTTCAACGAAAAATCTGTACAGTCCGTTTTTTTTTTGAGTTGTTTGGAACGTTTAGAACTCTTCGGGCGCCAGATCGAACCTTGGTGGGAAGGTGCCGAAACCGTCGAAGCCGGGGCGCGAACGTTGGGGCTGAAAAACGAAAAAAGTCAATAAGAAAATGTCAAATAAGAAAACAAGACATGCAGGACACATGCCACGTGCCATAGGAATCAACTCCAATACACATACAATGGTGGATTAAAGGTGAGTGCAACATAACCTTGCAACTCACAGTATGTACTTCCCATACGTTCATCGGGGTGAAAGTCAATTCATGTTATTAACAAAAAATGAAACGCGGAACCTTTATGAATTTATGGCACCAAAGAATAAAGTCACGAGAGGTTTTAGTACTACAAGCGAGAAAACTTTTTTTTTAATATTATCTGCGTCATACATATTTAAAAGAAAATTTAAAAAGTATAGCCTAATATGCCATAAATTTGGAATCAATTTTATTTCTCTCCTGTAGCAACATCGGTTTGGGGTATGCACGATCTAAGTACTACAAGGTTTAGCCTCGCTGGTCACTTACATTAAACTCCTGTGTTGATCTATGGACGCCCTTTAATGGACGCCTGAACAAGATAATATAAATTTACTGCTTTATATTGGCAGATACAATATATAGTAAATTTTTCATAAAATTTATTTTCGTAAATTTTTAAATAAGGCTATACACACATACACCACTAAATTTTAATTACAAAAATAATTAAATATAATTCGACAAAATTATTACCGTTGTTTTACAAAACAACTGTATTATTTTTATTGTATAGTACTTTAGAGCCAGTACTACGCGCTGAGTAAGCGCACCATTGGAAAATTTGGGAAATTTTAATATTTAATTAAATCTTGTTTTTATTTTTGTAATTTATTCAATGTTTAATTTCAGTTACTGAAAATACCCTTTAAATTTTTCTGTTAATTCCACATAATGGTGTATAATATTATAAACTACATCTTAACCTATAGTGTCGTCAGACTGAAGGAATTCCCCACAAGGTATTTAATTCAGTTTTTTTTTTTAATTATAAATTGAAACTAAGAACTTAAAAACAAACTAATAGACCACTTGATGGTAAGTGAACTACAAGAAACACACAAAAGAAAGCGTTGTCATTTCTGAGGACTAAGATGGAATACCTCACTGCCTGTAATTATACCATTCAGACCGGAATACATCAGTGCAATTTCTTCTAATTGATGACTGAAAGAATGCTTCCTAGTCATAAAAGAAATCCTACCAACTAGTCAGCGCATATCAGAATTAAATCCGTATCCGTGACAGGAAGAAGCGTAAAAGACGTAATGCAGCTGAAACTGCGATCGCTAGTGCGCCTGCAGAGGACTACAGCTACCTTTTCCTTTTTTTGTACTCAGACTTATTTACGGCTGCCCTGATAACGAGTATAAGTAGGAGGATATAATTATTTATTACAGTACGAATATGCTTCCGATTTTGAATATGCATCATCATCACAGCCTATAAAAGTCCACTGCTGAACGCAGGCCTCCCCCATAGATTGCCTCATAGGGGATTTTGCCATATTTGACACGCTTGGCGAGCGGGTTGTCAAGCGCAGTTTTTTATTATTTTGAGTTATCAGAAAGATGCTGCTGCCCATCTCCTGTTTCAGTTTCCCACTGACTCCTCTTACGACCCCCACGGGACGATAGTGTAGTGGATATTCTTACACCGTCACTACACGGATTTTGAATATGATACCGTAACTCATAGCAATAATTAAATGTACTATAACACTTTTAAGATAAAAAGATAAACTCACCGCCGGGCTGACTCCTCTCGCAGTAGATCCTGCGCGTCCCTTGCCACGGAATTTGCTAATAGCCTGCTCAGCGAGGTCTGCCCTTTCCTCAGCCTCTTCCAACTCCTGTTGAGCTTTGCGGAATTTAGCCAAGTTGAGAGCGGCGATTTCTTCTGCCTCCTCAATCTGCCTCTTGTAAGTCTTGATCTTCTGTTGCAGTTTGTCGACGAGGTCTTGCATACGCTCGTGGTTCTTGCGGTCTTCCTCAGCCTGGAAGGAAAGCTCCTTGATACGCCTCTCACTCTTGCGAAGGTTCTTTTGTGCGTCAGCGTGTCTTCTCTGTTCACCGTCCAGTTCGTTCTCGAGTTCTCGGACCCTCTGTTCGAGTTTTTGGATGGCCTTCTTGCCTCCTTTGAGTGCGTTAGCCTCAGCCTCATCAAGCCTGACCTGCAGTTCCTTGATCTGTTGTTCAAGTGCCTTGCGGAGTTTCTCTTGAGTTTGGGCGTGTTCTTGTTCAGCACGGAGTTCATCGGCGAGCCTGGCAGCATCAACCATAGCCTTCTTAGCCTTCTCCTCAGAGTTCTTAGCTTCGTTGAGGAGCTCATCCAGGTCAGAGTGCAGGGTTTGAAGTTCGGACTCGAGTTTCCTCTTAGCAGCAGAGAGAGAAGCGCTCTGGGCGGACAGTTCGTTAAGCTGTTCGTGAGCATCGCTAAGTTCTTGTTCTGCCTGGCGACGGGCACGGTCGGCCTGTTCCAGGAGTGTTCTGGACTCTTCGAGCTCGTTCTGAAGAGCGTTAGCACGACGCTCAGAGATGCCGAGTTGTTCACGGGCATCATCACGAGCACGCTGTTCTTCTTCAAGAGCGGTCTGCAGATCCTTGATCTGTTGTTGGTAGCGCTTAATGTTCTTCTGTGCTTCAGCGTTAGCTTTGTTGGCGTGGTCAAGGGCGATTTCAAGTTCGTTGATGTCAGCCTCGAGCTTCTTCTTCATGCGCAAGGCCTCAGCCTTACCCTTAGCCTCAGCTTCGAGGGAAGCTTGCATGGAGTCAAGGGCACGTTGGTGGTTCTTGCGGGTGTTTTCGAATTCCTCTTCCTTCTCCTGGATCCTCCTGTCAATCTCCTGTCTGACCTGAGAGAGTTCGAGCTGAGCACGCAGAACCTTGTTCTCCTCTTGTTCGAGAGCGGCCTCAGCCTCTTCAAGAGCAGCCTGGAGTTCGTCTTTTTCGGCTTCCAGGCGCTTCCTGGCCTTCTCAATTTCGTGAATGTTGCGGCCACCTTCGCCAATTTGGTCAAGCAAGTCCTTAACTTCATCAGCGAGGTTCTTGTTCTCACGGCGGACGGCCTCAAGTTGCTCTTGGCCTTCTTCGTAGGCACCCTTGAGACGGAACAACTCAGTGGAGTAGTTGCGGCATTCCTTCTGGCTGGCATCGAGTTCAGCAGCAAGGTCGTCAACCTTGAGTTTCCATTCACCGATAATTTTGTCGAAGGCCTTCTGTTTCTTCTCAGCGGCGTTAGCGATGGCAGTAGCGCGGTCAACCTCGAGTTGCAAGTCCTCGACTTCGGTGGCAAGGCGCTGCTTGGTCTTTTCGAGGGCAACGACCTTCTGGTTGAGGGATTCGATAGTCTCCTCAGCCTCGGCAAGGCGAGCCTGGAGCTTACGCTTGGCCTCTTCGAGCTCTTCAGAGCGAGCAACACCTTCGGACTCGTACTTGGAACGCCATAGCTGAGCCTCAGCGTTAGCCTTGGAAAGCTGTCTCTGCAGATCAGCCTTGCCTTCGGCTTCCTCTTCGACTTGCTCACGGATGTTGTCCAAGTCATGTTCCAAGTTGCGGAACTTGCCAAGTAGAGTAGCGCGTTCCTGTAAGAAAGACATGAATGAAATAACAATAAATGTATTGTAATAATGTAGGGTTCGTGTTTTAAAAAGTGACAAAAATAATTATTTAAATAATTCAAAATTTAAATATAGTTCTCGTTAATCTATCAATTTTTTTATTTTATAATGAATAACCTACCCTGGCCTCCTCGTCGGCGAGCCTCTTAGTGTCTTCAAGCTGAGTGGTGAGCGACACCTTGATCTTGGATAGCTGCGACACCTGTGACTCAGCCTCCTCCAACTGGCGGAGAAGGTCGGAGTTCTCAATAGACAACTTCTTCTTGGCGGCATCCAGGTCGTTGAGGGTACGGTTGGCCTCGTCAGCCTTGTTCTGGACTTCGTTAAGCTGGTGCTGAAGTTGCTTGACGATCTTCTCTTGGGCAGCCTATTAGAATTCAAGTATTAGTAACGATATGTTGTGATTAGACATTTCATTGATAAAAACTATGATTTATGTTCACTGTTATATTCTAAAAAAATGCTTGAATGTAAAAAATTAAGTGATTAATGTTAAAATTATTAATTTATATAGGTATAATAATAATTTGTTATGTTTGTGTAAATTTTAAGACATGTAACACTCTTCACATTTGTAAACAATTTAATGTTGAATCATGCAATCTATTTCTGAAACAGTTTGTTTATATTTATTTAGTTAAATCGCAAAACAAGTTAGTACATATAGCGGTTTTAGCTCCATGCTGTAGTTCTAATATGTTAAAGGTGATTAAAATTTAATGGATATTAATTGGTATCGTGATATGATGGACGTGTTTACATATGTTCTGTTTTATATAATTTTAGTTTTCGAAAAAAAAAAACTGCGAAGCGGTATCCAGATTCAGCTGTAGCCAACAATTTCATCCTTTCATCTTTTTATACCTTTTCGTTGGCCAAGTGGTCGAGACCCGCACGAAGGTCATTGACTTCGCTAAAGTATTGAGAGCGCTCTTTCTCAGCCCTGAATAGATAGAATACAATAAAAATATAAGTATGTTTTTATATCACTTCAGTCGCAGAACCTAAAAGTGGGACAAATATTGTTATGTTTGTGGTGGTGTGGTGATGTTTTTGGGTCTTACTAGGAGACACCATGCAAGATTCAACCCAGGCGGTATCCATGCCATTATGGGCGACATGTTACCTTTTCCCTTGCGACTTGATCGATAGCCGCACGCGTGTTGTTAAGCTCGTTGTAGCAAGAAGCACGGTCATGTTCAGCCCTGAATTTTGATAAATCAATGAACGTTTAGACCGTATTAAGATTTTCAAAAAGTTTCGTACACAATAAAATTAATTTCGTTTAGGTTTTTCGATATGGTCTATGACTGCAGTACTATTGTTGCTTTCAATTCCTCATTAGATGATAAACATGATCTTTCAAATTTTTGAATTTTTTTCCGTCAAACTCTCATTGTTTTACATAAATACCACTTTATATAAGTATTTAAAATTATGCTCTCCAAGTGTTTAGATAAAACTTTACGATATATTAATAAATTTGATCTGAGAAAAATTATTTAGTACAAGAAAATGCTGTTATCTACTTACTTAGCTTTAAGCTTGTTGAGCTGGTCGAGTTGCTCGCCCATCTCAGCAACAGCATCATTGTGCTTCTTGCGAAGGTTGGCAAGGGTAGCCTCGTGTTGGATGTTAGCCTCCTCAAGATCACGGCGCAACTTGCTGAGCTCAGCCTCACGCTTTTTGTTAAGCTCAATCTGAGCAGATGTGGCACCACCGGCCTCTTCCAAACGCTCACCAAGCTCCTCAAGCTCACGAGCGAGGTCGGCACGCTGTTTCTCAGCCTTTGCACGAGCCTGGCGTTCGGATTCGACTTCCTCTTCCAGCTCTTCAATACGGGCCTGCAACTCCTTGATCTGTTTCTGGAGTTTGCTGACCAGTGATTGTTCGTCTTCAAGCTTGGCAGTAAGAGAGGAAATTTCCTTATCCTTGCGCTGGATGGTTTGTTCGAGCTCTTTCTTGTTGCGCTCGAGGTCGGTAACAGCTTCTTGAGTAAGCTTGAGGTCACCCTCAACCTTCCTCCTCTGCTTCTCAACATCGGCGCGCAGTTTCTTTTCGCGTTCCAAAGAGTCCTCGAGCTCGTCAAGGGTCTGCTCAAGCTTCTGCTTAACCTTGTTGAGGTGGTTGACCTTGTCCTCAGCGGCCTGAAGCTCCTCAGCAGTCTTCTGGTTCGTCTCACCCTGCATTTTCTTCTCCTTGTTCAACTTGTTGATGAGCTCATCTTGGTGGGCGATTTCATCATTTAAGTTGCGGATCTGGTGGTCCTTAGTGGCTTTGTCTTGTTCAGACTTCTGGACGGACAACTCGAGATCCTCAATGTCCTTCTTAAGGCCAGAAAGTTCCTGCTCCAATTTCTTCTTGGCTTGGAAGAGTTGGTTGCGGGCATCTTCTTCTTGAGTAAGGCGATCTTGGGTATCCTATAGGAATAATGATTGTTGTTTATTATATTTTCCGATTAAAATGAATTATTTTGTGGTAAACGTTTTATTACATCTTTCATTTTACGCTTGCGAAATACTTATTAAAGCTTTTGATGTGATGTGAACATTAAATTTATTTCAGAATATCTGCTTTGTGTCCATCAGCACTGTTTATAAGCAATAAAATTTGCTATAAATCGTGCACACTGCAGGCGTTGAATATATTTTTAAAGATTTTAAATCTATTTCTTTCTATAACAAACTTGTGTTTACTTAAAGAACCACGTCATTTAAACATGTGGTAAGTTGATTCGTAAGTCAAGTTAATTATTTGAATTTGAGTAGATTGTGTTTAAAATTTAATTGTAATTTTACTTTTACGTGGTTTTTAATTCAAATATTTGAAATAAGGTAGTTTTAACTAAAAAATTCTAAAACCCTAGCATTACTTACCCTAAGTTGGTTCTCGAGGTCGGCCTTTTGTGCCTGGAGCTTGTTAGCACGCTCCTGAATTTCAGATAGCGAGCCCTTCTCTCCCTCGAGTGTAGCCAACAGAGCAGTCTTCTCCTCGAGCAACTTAGCATTGAGGGCCTCGACCTCCTTACGAAGTTTCTCTTCCTTCTCGAAGGCTTCCTGAGCCTTCTGTGCTTTCTCCTCCAGTTTCTGTAAACGATCGTCAATTGAATTCACTCCATCCCATACTGCCACATGAACTGCCATCGTTCTATCAATCACACCATAAACCTAAACTAGGAATGTAATATTGTTCGGTTCGTTCGTTAGTTAAGGAAGGGTGGTGCGCGCGCCGCCGACCGATCCGCTACTGAGGATCGCTGGAGTTTTCCAGCAGGCGCGATATTCGCCCCCGCATGCGATACATTGCGCATGGAATAAGCGCGCGGTAGCGGGTGGGGGGCAGAATCCAGAAATGGATACGGCAGGTGTTGCGGTGTCACGTAACCACCAGGTGGGCGCGGTCGAATCTATTTACGTTTCCCTGATTCACGTGTGCTAAAAATGTTAGAATTTAATAGGTCAGAGTGTATAATCATATTCATATGACAGTGCAGACGGGTGCTTACCGCCATTTCATCCTCGATACGAGTGACGTTGAGGAGAGGCTTGACCTTCTGCCACAGTTTCCACCAGGGCCAGGTACGGAGCTGCAAGTACTTGCGCAAGTTGCGCTGGACAACTTGAAGGGCAATCCTGATTAAAAAGCAATTCCAATTTAGCATCACCTAAATTTTTAGAAAAATTTTCCCGTACATAGACTTGTAAGTGAACCTACCTTTGTTCCTGCAGCTTCTTGTACTCTTTACGAGACAAGTAACCACGGATGTAGGCCTGCATCCATGATACAATCTTGCCCAACCTGTCATCACGCAGTTCTTCCATCTGACCCAGGACACCAGCGCGGAAGAATACCTGCTCATATAATAATAGTGTTACAATATTGTTGTGTTTGGTGAATAAGATCTTACAAAAATATGTACGTTACCAAAGGTCCACTGATGAACATACGTCTCCCTCACAATTTGCTCCATAGGGGAGTATCTGCCGTAGATGCAACGCGTAGCAATCGGGTTGACCTCAGTTTTTAATTTTTTTTAATTTGTAATCAGTTAGATGCTGCTGACGATCTCCTGTTTCCTTTCCCTCAGTCGCCTCTTGCGACTTTATGATATAGGCTACTGGACCTTCTTACGCCAAACATATTACATTAAAAATAATTATAAAACTTATTTGCACGTTATTGACAATAATAAAGCATGTTAGTTAAAGCAGAAAATGTTAATTTTAAAATTAGGTACATTAAGGAAGTATGAAGAGACAGGGTGGACTACAGACATTTAGTGAATGTGCAAAATTGCGATAAGGATCATGCATACCATATTCTACAAGCACGACATTCTACCTTAGTCTTTCCAAGTCTGTAAGACTCCGAATCCAAGCCGGTATGTTCGAGAATTTTCATAGTGGCTTTTTCTGCTGTAATTGGCTCTTTGATGAGGCTCGGGCACAGAATTTTGTATCTGCGTTTGAGGAGCACACAAAATATGAAAAACTATGACATACGTGATGATGAAGATGAAGTAAAACAAACGAGCCTATGTAGCGAGGGCTCTAAAATGAAAGCGGCCTTGGTTTCTAAGGTTTAAGGATCATTGGGACACTGTCAGATTGTGTCTCAATTGGTATGTAAGGAAGGAAATGGCAATCAATCAGTTGTTCGCGAAACTATGATATCAAACTTTTTAACTACTAAAACGGTCTATGACATGCCTTTGTATGACCGAGACGGTACGATTCGGGATCCAAACCCGTGGCGTCCAGGATCACTTGAGCGATTTTCTTAGGATCGGTTTCCTTGTCTGCTGCTTGAGGGGCCAGGATCTTGTAACTACATTTTCAAAATATACACGCATACGATCAGCTAATATCATACAATATCTATAAAAAATTACTATGTCTGGTGTATATTTGAGGGTAGCAAACATCAACATGATTTATATATTCATGTGTCATAATTATAAAGGTATCTGCTACCTTGGCACTTCGTCCCATATCTTGATGTATTCCAATTCAACAAGTGCGGATAATGTTTAAAGTTCTAAATATAGATATGTGAGGAAACATCAAACAGTGGAATCTACTCATTTCACTCTATTTTTTAGAGTTTTGTGCATTTGTTTACCATGCTTGATCAAATCTACCATACTTAATCCAATCCTATAATCAGTCTTGCCTTGGTATGACCAATACGATAGCTGTCAGGGTCAAGCTGAATAGACTCGAAACACTTCTTGGCGGCTATTTTAGGATCACTTTCTGCAGCCATGATGGCGGGCGCAAGAATCATGTAACTGTTCATAATAATATATTATTGTATAAAAATATCGAATGAGAAAGCGTTACAACTGAAATCGATGAGTCGACACCAGCGTAGGTGTGAACTTAATGATTCATCGTTCACATTTTGAAACAATTTTATATAAACATCTGCTTACAGCTATGCACATACGTTTAAATTACGTCAGAAGTGAACTGCAGTACCAGAATAAAACTGTTCCATCAGTAAGAACGTTCCAGAGCTAAAAAAATAGTTGACTCTTGCCAACCGTAATCCAGTTATTAAAATAAATATAGTCATATGATATAAAATAACTCGAAAGCTCATAAATATTTGACGGTTGGATAAACTAAAAATAGATTTATTGAATTTTTTATGATATAAAATAAACGAAATCTTACCGAAGCTTGAAGTCAGGGTAAACCATCCTGTTGGGGAAACCTTTACGGCAAATACGGATGCCTTCAAGCACACCGTTACAGGTGAGCTGGTGCATCACAAGATGAGAGTCGATGAGACCTATTTAATGGAGATAAAAAGATTAGTATCACCTCATCCTTAAAAAAATACTGAATATAATCTCTACCTCATTTTACTTAATTAACAACATCAAAGAAACTGTCAGTGGAACGCGTTGATTAACATCTTTATGCCTAATCAAAATTATAGTTGGAATTTTTATTCCTGGTAATCATAAAATCTTCTGACACACTTAATAGAAACATAAAACACATTTTTATCGCCATTTTGACATTATTTTAAATCTCAAGATTTGAATCACAGAATTTTAAAAAATCTTGTGCGTCATGCTGTTCATGCGCATACTCATATATTAAATATTCTAAACATAACATATTCGTCTCATAAACACTTTTTGTGTCTAAAATCTAAATAATTTAATAGAAGACTGAAAAAAACTAGTTTTCTTTCATATTTTTCACATGAAAATAGCTTAAAGACATTTAAAAAGCTGGAATTTTCACTTACCAGCCTGTTTCAATTCATTAGGAATGATACAACGCACGAAGTGAGGTTGGGTTGATCTCAGCGTTGCCATCAAGTTATTAAGTTGTTCCTGTAAGAGTAAAGTTATTAAATGTGACATTTTAGTACCGTTACAGATAAATATTTTATTAGTAAATAGCGTTAAAATTATGCATAGTAATTTTATGATAAACTCTATTATTGCAATTTCTTGGTCTGCAATAATAATTTTCAACATAGAAGCAACACCCAATGAGATGACAGTAACAAGAAGTATTTTAATGATAAAATGAACACGGATTAGATCACAAAAAAAAGTCATGTCAATCACATACACACATAAAAAGCTCAAATCGGCTGTATAAGTACGCCAAATATCGGTAATGATAATTTAACTTAACAAATTCTTATTTTACTTTTATTATTCGTACAGACACACGCTGTTGTGTTGTGTGTTTTTCGCAATTTATTAAGATAAATAAAAATATTGAACATATAAAGGCGATACGGGAGGTAGTAATTGCCTCGTTGACCGTTAATGACATTGCACCAATTTTCAATTATGCCCTTCGTGAAGAAAGCTTCAAATAATGTAGATCTACATCCAGGTAGTATTCTACATCATAAGGATGATTAAAACCAAAATCAACTAAGAAAAATCATAAACTCATAGATACCCTGTATGCGGAGGAGACAGTTGCGAAACCACCACCCTTCTTACCGCGACCGCCTATGGACGTACACGTATAAGCAAATATTAGTAAAAAAGGACAGACACAAGAACGTCACAGGAACTAAATAGTGAACAGTAAGACTCGTTGACAATACATCTGCGAGACACCGGAGAACATGAGCTGTGCTGTAAAACATACATAGACGAGGACAAGTGATTAATGTGAAAGCATGGAGGGCTAGCTTCTGGATGCAGCATCGTCCATATTTATCGAGATATTTTAGAAAAAATATAAAGATACCGCGGCAATGACGATGCATGCAGAAGAAACTAGCCCTAAGCGTATTGTAGACGAGAACAGTGAAGCTACATTGAAGACAGAAGCAAACCTCGAATATTATATTCAAGTTTACCCTGTAGAGTGATGACACAGTCTGGAAGGCAGAACCCTTGGCGCGCTTGCCTCCAGCGCCTAATTTGTTTAAAAATAAATGAGAAAAAAGGTGAGTAAATGTCAATAGAGAAAATTTATGAATTGTCTATGAAGACCAAGCTTGTTGAAGTATACTTAAAGCTTGCTCAATTTTGTCAATAGCTTAGATGATGATATGGATTCTGATGATGAACAAAGAAAGGCAAATAAGAGTATGAAATGATACAACTTGTTTTGTTCACAGAAGTATTTTACAGCTCACGTCACGTACCCTCTTCTGCAGTATTTTAGATTATAACAGATTATTAATACATCGGTAATAAAACAAATCTTATTGAATGCTTAAAAAAACATTATGGGCTAAATAATCATTAAATACACGTTAAATTAATTTGTGAGAATAAGAATGATACATACCCTTGCCACCACCACCAGCACCGCCATCACCAGACTGGCCAGGATGGTCAGCAAAGATCTCAACCAACAGTTTGTTAGCGCCCTTCTTGAACTGGTCGACAACGGTGTCGTTAAGAGGGTCCTTGTTCTTCTCAAGCCAACCGGTGATGTTGTAACCGACCTATTTCACGAGGTAAAAATATTGAACATTATTACAGAAATTCAAATTTGTGAGGAATGTTATTATTCTCATTTTTTTTTTGTTATTAAAACGAATAACAAACACCCCGGATTTCAAAAAAGTTAGCCATGAAATTTTAAATTCTGCTATATAAATTAAAGGTATACGAGAAAAAACTAACTCTAAATCTACTCGTAAAGAATAACATTTTGTTGAAAGTAAGTACAATGAAGTTATAGCAAAATGCTTTGCTTACGAATATTACATGGCTGCAATTTTATTAAACTTTTGGATAAAAGTAATTTGGAGTACAACGCATTATGCATTTTGGTGATGGATAAAGTTTTGAAATGTAAATAAAAGGTTTACTTACATTTCCAGCATAATGGCCGATGGCGAAGTGAGCGGGCTGGCAACCTGGCTTGGGAGGTTTAGGCTTCAGGAAAGGAGCAGATTTGCCCAAGTGGTTGTTCATCAACTTCTCAACGAAGGTTTGGTCAGTGGCTTTGGGGAACATAGACTCTTCCTCAAGAATGGAAAGGATACCCATAGGCTGAAATTGAACAGAGGAGATTAGAGATTGATATTTTTAGCGTATAACAATTTTTGCAGGCTACAATAAATATCTTTTTCTATGTAAATGTATACCTAAGTTTATGAAAATTAGAACATAAAATCGATAGGTTTAAAATGCGAGAATTATACGATAAACATCAATATTTACCAATTATACAATAGAAATATTTAAAATTTACATCGTACTGTGTATATTATATCATAAGTTGTTATGTGTTAAAATGCAAGCAACATGCAAATATTGAAATCTGTGTTCCGGCATCAAAATAATACAGCGTATGTAAATTGTTAATTGTTGTTTTTTGTGCTCTGTAGCAAAAAACAGCGTTCGCGTGTATGTCATTTGCTAAAACCAAATCCTTATAGAGAAAACAAACAAAAAAAACTATACTGCATTTATATTAAATCTATGGTAGCCGTTATTTAATTTATTTTTAATGTTAAATGCCTAAAATTACCAAGTTGCTCTTTTAGCAGTAGTTTTTCAAATTTTAATATTGTTCTTGTCTTAGTAAAAATTATGAATTATTAAGAAAAGCCTTAAAATTAATTTTTAAGTATCTTACTTGCGTTGAAAGCCTAATTGTTTTAAAAACCGCAGTTATATTTACTATCGCATTTACGGGTTTGTTTTCAGCTAATATTTCCCGCTAATTGGGTCCTACTGGCCCAAGCCATAATTCAAACGCTTCTAATACCTTTTCTATCAAATCAATTGTTGGTTGAAGGTCCATACCAAAATCTATAAAGATCCATTGGATACCTTCTCTTTCGTATTCCTCTTGTTCTAAGATGAACATGAAATGATTAAAGTATTGTTGCAGTTTTTCGTTCGTAAAATTAACACACAGCTGGTTAAAGCCGTTCATCTGGACCGTAGATACATGTAAAAATAATCTAAGTTGGTAAATACGATTACGAGTTTAGTGTCGATTGTATGATTGTATGTAATGTATGTAATGTATGTGTATCTGAGTTGCAACGGAGAAGATGTAACAACAAAAAAACACACGTAAGTAACACTTCACAAATAAAACAGTGAGCATATAGCGTCCCTAGATCCCACGAGCAAAATCTTTAAAATTTGTAATTTATGTACATTTATATGAATTTTTATCTGAAAATTTATTGATTACTTAATTTATTATTGCTTATATTGATAAAATATTAATAAAGTAAAATATTTTAAAGACTTTACTCGGTGGCTATGGCGAGATGCAAGCGTTCATTGTGCGTTGCCGCCATATACCTTTTCAATAAGGTCTATACAATTTTGAAGGTCCATGCCAAAATCAATGAAAGTCCACTCGATGCCTTCGCGCTGGTATTCTTCTTGCTCCAGTACGAACATGTGATGGTTAAAAAACTGCTGGAGTTTCTCGTTCGTGAAATTAATGCAGAGTTGTTCAAAACCGTTGAACTGCAGGTAGACAATTAATGAGAAATGTTAGGGGTTTTATGGTGATAAGATACAACAAGTACGGATCGCATTCCGTATTTAGTTGAACCTTAAAACGTTACATTAGGAGTAGTGATGGATGAAGGAGTCGCGTCTATCCCTATAGACTTGCGAGTTTTGTATACGATTCAACGGGGAGTCGTGTCTATCCCAATAGACTTGGCGAGAGGTATAAAACTAATTCCCGCCTTCAGTTGTCCACCAACGACGACGGGTCATACGATGGACACATGTTCTTTTACCTTTTCAATAAGATCGATACAAGCTAGCAAGTCCATTCCAAAATCGATGAAGGCCCAGTTGATACCCTCTTTCTTGTACTCTTCTTGTTCGAGCACGAACATGTGGTGATTAAAGAATTGCTGGAGCTTTTCGTTTGTGAAGTTAATGCAGAGTTGCTCGAAACCGTTGTACTTTTATAAACAATACGAAACCAAGATGAATGGATAGGAAAAAAAACGGTTAAGACAAGTTATACACTATAAAAATTAAGCTACATATAATAATTAGTCAGCAGGGTATTGAGAGATAGCTTTAAAAAAAACATTGATAGCGCTGTTGAGGCTCTGCCCAGGCCAGGGTTGCGAAGACCCTATATACCTTTTCAATAAGGTCAATGCAGGCCAATAAGTCCATTCCAAAGTCAATGAACTCCCAATGAATTCCCTCTCTTGTATACTCCTCTTGCTCCAACACAAACATGTGGTGGTTGAAGAATTGTTGTAGTTTCTCGTTTGTGAAGTTAATACAAAGTTGTTCGAACCCATTGAACTAGAGAAGTAAATTAACATTAATATCAAGGTAATGAAAAGTAAATGAATGTTTTTTTCTCGATGCTGATTATGATGTCTCCCAAAAAAAACTCCAAACTGATTTGTGATGATCATATTTAAGTTTCATAAGTCTACTGATCTTAATTTATCTGATGAAAAGCGAAAAAGCGTCTGTAGAGAAAACTACAAGACGATTTATACACATTCGATCCGAAAGACGATAAAATTACATAGCTCTTGTGCTTTCAACGTCTGGGATTCGAACCCAGGTGTGAGTTAAACGAGTTGTGCCTTTTCTATACATTTAATAAACCATAAGCTGATTCTGAAAATTAAATATTATTGTTATAATTAATAGAAAGTCCATTTATATCTTTTTCTAAAAATAAACCCTTAGAAAAATTGCATGGGCATTTTTCGAAGAGGCTTATCTCTTCTAACTGATACTCACGTCGAAGATCTCGAAACCAGCAATATCCAGTACACCAATGAAGTGCTGCCTCTTCTGCTTGGTGTCAAGAGTCTCGTTACATTTCTTAACGAGCCACTTGAACAGACGGTCGAAGACACCCTTACAGAGAGCGCCGACGGAGTTGGTGACCTGGTCCTTGTTACGACCCTGGGTCACGAACTCGTTTCCGACCTTGATGCGGGGCTTCAACAAGTTTTTGTACAAGTCCTGGCAGTCCACACCAAGGAGCTTGGCAACTTTTTCACCATCCTGAAGGAGAAAACAAATTAGGAGCATTGTTAGTACGATCATTTAGTGTATATATTTTTAATATATGTGATAAAAACACTTTTTTATAATTTACAAAAAAAGCAATATATACCTTATTATAAATTTTTTATAACATATTTATTATTGCAGAAGTGAACGGCAGAGTCGAAAAGGGACGTCCTAGGCCTCTAGTCTAAAAGTCTATCGTCGAAATTGGCGATATATTAAAAATGGGCCAAAGTAAGAGTACCTACCATGTATGCGTAGGTATATGGATGTGGAGGAGACGAGACGGGTGTGTCAGTATCGTGCCAAATGGATGTCTGTAGTCTCTGCCTGCCGCTCTGGGTGACAGGCGTGAGTGTTTATGTGTGTATGTATGTATGGAATCTTGTTGGTCGAAATTATGTAACCTCCAAAGTTTTTTTTTAAATAAAAGTGTTATAATTTGAATAGTTACCTCGGTTCCGTCAGCCTCAGCCTGTTCTTCACGACCCCTCTGCTTGAACTTCATGCAACCCATGTGCATGACGGCGGCGGTGATCTTGTATACGTTGTCCTTCTCTTCTTGGGTGAAGCCCAGAATGTCGAAGGCTTGCTACAATGGTTCATACATGTATGTATTAACATTTTACTCTGGTCTTAGTGTAAGTGTTAAAGGTTTCAAAATATGTGAGAATAAATAAACTATAATAAATAAAATCTGAAAATGAACATAATGACATATTTAATATAAATTCAATAAAAAATGTCATTATACGAGTATAAGATTTATACAATAATAGTGTAGGAAATAGAATACAAAGTATTATAATAAAGTGATTATAAATTTATAACACATGTTATAGAAAAAACAATGAAAAACAGCATTAGTATATTCGCTCACCATTAATAAAAGCGTTAAGGTAGGTTTGGTCGTAGAAGGAGATATATATTGAACTAGGTGCACAGGATTATAAACGTGCTATGGCGTGTGGGGGAGCGGGCATTATATGTTTTTATAATACCCTCTCTTGACGTGCACACTGAATAATATTGTGGAATTTTGGACCATCGGACAACCTAATTTTCCATTACAGTCGGTACTAATGGTCTAGGCTAACTAATCTACTAATAAACTACGTCGCTCCAGCATATTCAATGAGCGTCTTGTGGTTTATCGGACAAAGGGTACTCGAAACATCTCTTAAATAGTGTATCATTCACTTACATCGGTCAATACACATTCTTCACCGTCATCGACGTTTGGAATGGTAATCTTACCCTGAGCGATGATAAAGTAATCATATACGTCGTTGGATAACATACACATATCTGTTGATAAAAATCAAACAATTTAGTAAATTTTTTAAAATGTTATATCTTAGAGTACCTCGATACATCCCTGATGTTTAACCTGACGTGTTTGTTTCTGTGTGTTATTAATTTGGGAAGTGCTTGTGCTGGATTTAGGAGGAAAATTATATTTTTGGGGGTCAAACCTGTGCTCATTTGAACTTTTGCAGGGAGCGAGCATATTATGTGAATGTCAGAAATTTTGTAAAAGCTGGACCATAATATGCGAATAACTGAACCGAGACGCACGCTCCATGCGTAGATTTGCGACTTACGACCGTCTTATCTAACTCTTCTGCGTCGTTGACTCCAGGTATCCGAGTCTTCCCCTGACTTATGAGGGGATAGTCCCCGATGCGGTTGCTTAGCATTGTTTTTTCTGGAAACACCAAATCATCTGACATACACATACATGCAAGGACTGAATTTTGGCTCAGTCGTAAGCAAAGCAAGCGAAAAGAAGTGAAGAAGTAGAAGGAAAGATTTTCGCATAGTTCAATGAGATGAGCCAGTAGTCTTATTCTGGACTCACGTCGGTAAGCTTCATTTCCTCGCCATCATCAACGCCAGGGATAATAGTCTTGCCTTGAGATACGATGTGGTAATCCATGACGTTGTTGGATAATAAGCAGATCTCTACAAAATGACACCATTTACAGTCAAGTTTGGTATTTGGTGTGCTAAAACTAGCGGTAACTTAGGAATACACATGCTTATGTTTTTGGTAAAACTATTCTACAGCATCTCATGCCAGTTCTTAGGCAAGATGCGCGCGCCGTCGGTCGGTTATATGCGACTCAACGGCTGGAAAGGATAAAAAACTTTGTTACTCTCTCAGAGCCCTTCAAGCCAGTTGAAGGCTAACTTACGTCGGTCAAAGTACATTCCTCTCCATCATCTACGTTCGGGATTGTAGTTTTTCCTTGTGATATGATATGATAGTCATATACGTCGTTTGACAGCAAACACATGTCTAAATATCGAAACTCAAATTAATTATCAAGGGAACTAAATAAATCTATAGGTATGTGCAGTTTAGTTACATGGGAGTTTGTAAAGTGTAAATATTCGGGATTTCGTAGAGCGGAATGAAACTGTAGAAATTTTATTTTAGATAAAATACCTTGAAATTTTACTTAAAATTATGTCAGCGTCTATAAATTAAAATTCAAAAATACTAATAAAGTGATAACAATTTAAAACAATAAAAACTGAGATTAAATAATGACTGATCATTTTGATTTTGATTTAAAATTATATCGATACTGTGTAGAATGTGAAGTGTGCACGCGTACCCTTTAGTCCAGGAACGGAGCCAGACATCATCTGGTAGAAGATGTGGTAAGAACGTTCCAGGGCTTGTTGGGAGATGACACGAGCCTTTTCGAGCAGATCTAGCAAACAGATACAATAGGTCAAGAACCATCCTCAGCAACATCATCTTGTGTGATTCAAATAGTGCACAACTTACAGGTCTCGATATCAGCACCAGCCAGTTTACCAGAAGGTCCGAAGTGGATACGGATGAATTTACCCTGAGGAAGGATTTAAGCACTTTTTAAAATCAAACAAGTGAATTGGCTTACAATTGTCAAGCTACATTAGCTTTCAATTGCTTAAACAAATTTAATTACATTAGTTGTGATTGATCGAATAATTTCTATTTTGACATTTTAAAGGAACTAAGAAATAATGTAATCGATGATATTATACCTAGTAATAGAGTTATTAAATATAATATTAAGATATAGTTTTCTCTATATACAAAAAGACACTTACGAATCGGGAAGAGTTGTCGTTACGGACGGTCTTGGCGTTACCGAAAGCTTCAAGTACGGGGTTAGTTTGGACGACCTGGTCTTCCAGGGATCCCTTCTTCTCCTGAGACGGGTCCTTCTTTTGCGACGCACCGACGGTGGCGAAGTACGCAATTACCTTCTTCGTGTTCTCAGTCTTTCCGGCACCAGACTCACCGCTGTTGAATTTTAAATTTGTTAACGGTGTTTTTTTACATGATAGAGCCACGAATGAGTCGGTTCAACTGTGAAAGGACCACGTTCTTACAGAATACCAGCGTAAAATAGCGGTTTAATGCTATATAATACGAATAACCGGATAGACCCTTTTTACTGAAAACGAAGCATTCCATAATAATTCTCAGAGGTTAAAACACAGTATCCACTTACTATTAGATAAACTGTCCTCGTGAGTCACCCTTTTTTTTATAAATTAAAAATCAAAAGCTTATCTAAAATTTTTAGTCGACTTCATAAAAGAGGAGGTGCCCAATTCGACTGTTTTTTTTTTACGTATGTTACGCGATATAATGGTTAATTGTAAATCGATTTATTGATTTTCTTTTAAAGGCTCATACATAGATAGGTTTTTAAATTTGAACAAAAATTACATCCTTGTGATTTATAGCGGGAAAATTGGGTATGGAGTTTTTATTGTAACTATTTAAATCACATTCTAGAAGTTAATTTGGGCTTATTATGTGCTTTAGTCCTTTTAAAAGGGTCTAACATTTTAACACTTAATAAAAAACTAAAGTCTTCAAAATAACTACTCAACAGAATAAAGTAATTTTCACGTAATGAATTTTGAAGTCAGTGTTTTATTTCTACACTTTCTACTAATAATATTATTTCCTCATTATAATTTCTGAAGTATTGACATTATTCCTTTTAGTTATTTTGCTTTAGATTTTTGTTAAAAGCCAAATTTTTCACTGTGTGTTAAACTAATATAATATTGGTGCATTTTATTATATTCCTTAATAGTTTTCTTCTTCTGATTCTACTCGAACATAATGATTTCTTATATTTACGCGAACACTACAAATTTAAATAATACTAGTTTTTACGGATTTTATCGCGTATATTAACTCTTTTATATACCCGCATTTTTTATAATTATTAAATTATTAACTTCAAGATACTATAGTTTCATACTGCGTAGATCGGAACAAAAATTAATAACTTTAATCTGTGGTAACCGCGGTTAACTATGACATCTGGACGTTGAACATCTCAGCCTCCCCCGCGACCATGGGTGCTGTAAAGTGCTCGAAACGTCGGGTATATAAAAAGTTGACATACGCGATAAAATCCGTAAAAACTAGAATTAGCTACTCGAAAGAGCTTACTACTGGGTCTAACTCTCTACTTTTGGCAGATGAATTCATGAAATTTCATTAGAATGCTTGATACCGTAAAGGCCTATTAAAGTCCACTGCTTGACAAGGGCCTCCCTATATATTGCCTCTGTCACCTCTTACGACATCCACGGGATAATATGGGGTAGGGGATATTCTTAAATCGCCACTACAGAGTACATTGATATTTGAAATTGATGGTATAATATTGATATGTTATGCTAAAATACATGGTTGCAATAATTTCTACAAACAATTCTTCGAGTAGAGTTGAAGATGGCATAAATTTAAGATTCATGTTAAATATTTTCAATTTTCCATTTTTGTAAACATTACTAATAATTTAAGAAGCATCTATTACGTTGATTAAAAATGTTAGCAGCTTATAATTTTCCAGGTATTTCTAAAAGGATTTGCAGTTTTTTTTATCGATGTTTTATAATCTAAATTGCATCAATTAACTTACGTAATCAACATAGATTGATTCTCGTGGTTGGTCAACATGTTGACGTAAGCGCCATCGGAAATGGCGAAAATGTGAGGCGGCACTTCCGAGCGACGCTTGCCTCGGTAAAGCTTGGCGCATCGGGTCGTGTACACGGGGTATCTCTTGTAGGGGTTGATAGCCACACAGAAGAGCCCCGAGTATGTCTGTTAATTATTATACAATTAGTACATGTGACATAGAGTTCGATGTTGGTATTCGAATGATTGGAATGTTTCAGGCTATAACAGAAAGATGGGCCAAGAAACCGTTAAAAATTTTATGAGTCCTCTCTACAGATCAACTGGTAGACCGGCGATAAGCAATAATTTCACCCACTGTTACCATAGTTATAAGGTGCAACAATAAAGAATAAATAAATAAATAAAAATTCTTTGAATATATACTTAAACAGGATCTATTAAAATAGCATCATGATTCATGACTGTACGTTGTGGTCTAATGGTACACGATCTTAACAATTTTATAATATATCTTTCAATTTGCGAGATTTTTTTATTATTTTGATCCTCAATTAAAATCTTTGTTTGAAAATTTAAATCTTACTTAATATTTGAAAAAAAAAAGATGAGTTGTTGAAATATTTGAGAGATGCAATTCGTTGCAGTTTTCTATTATTTGAATTACTTATGCTTTAGACCAAAAGTGGGATTTTAGTCCGTCTTCTGCAAAGAATATGGCCATTTTTCTGTTAGAGTATCAAAATAGGAAGGTTTCATTGTTAACAAGTTTTAATTACATTCGAGCATATTTTCGAATGTTGCAAAGTGATAACAATTTGAATTTAAAAAATAAAATAAAAGACACTTAAACACACCAGCACAGGGAGAGTACTGTATCGATACTTTGACTCGCTGCGCTTAAACAAATTGGAATAACAGTAGTCTTCACGAATAACATTATAATTAAATTAAACAACTGATCATGTTTTACAAGAAACTCACTCTTAAAAAAAGAGAATAGGAATTAAGAACTTCGTGAAGATTACTGTCGTAGTAGTCATCGTCATACAACATAGAAGGTCATAAGATTCCATGTTTAGAAATGGTTTAAACATAATTTCAGTGTATTGGACTGCAATTATCACTGAAAAGAATAGATTATCAAAATTCTAATCTTGAAATAGATAGGTCCAGATGTCGTCGCGTCCTTTTCACCGACTTGTCCTGTGTAAAAGGGTTCAAGTTCGGTTCTGGTTTTGAGAATAATAGGAAAGGGAAATAGGGTTAAAACGACCTATATATAATCACTTAACTCCTTCAAAATAATTTAAAAACCTTAGATATTATGAAAATTAATTTTCGATGTCTTTTTTTGTAATTGAATGTAATATTTCTTTTAATTTAAATATCAAGTCTCGTAAATTTAATACTGCCAGTTTATCATTAAAAATTTTTGACGTAGTTATAAAAGTCTCAAAAGGTCATGTTACTTTTGAATATCAAAGAGATACTAAAAGAACAATTCATTGCAAAACAGAAAGTGAATTAAATTATTTCCGATGCATTTAAAAACATAAAGTCAGAGTAGAGTCTTAATAAAATCAATCAGTAAAAGTGATAAATTTGAAACAAAAGAAGCTACTTTAATTGTAAATCCTTGGTCGCTTTCAAGAGAAGGTTATATTTCGAGATAGATAAAGTAGAGATGGGCTCATGCACGGTGCACACTTGAACGCTGCAACTGCTTTCCTGTATCCTGACTTACGTAAATAAGCTTATGGTAATATCTCTGCTTCAAGTTATACAAAACCGAAGCGTCGTTGAGGTATGTCAAGTTGGACATATCCTCGCATTTCTCGTACTTAGGCGGGTTGACTTGAGCAACAAGATCCTTCTTGAAGTCTTTGGTCTGCGGGAGAGATATTTTGATCAGTATTACAATAAAAGTGATGGCGCTTTTCGCGCCTACTTACATAGATTAGTTTTGCATAGTATCGTTGTCGAAGATTGTGAAGCACAGCGGCATCGTTAAGATAAGTCAAGTCAGCCATGTCCTCGACTTTCTCGAATTTCGGCGGGTTGACTTGTGCAATTAGATCCTTTTTAAGTGTCTTTTCCTGCTCATTCAATAAATTTGTTTAGTGTGTTTATAAACAAGAGTAAAGAGGAACGATCCGTAGAATTTTCATATTGATCAATAGGATATTACATTTTTTTTATTTTATCCTCAGATAACATTATGGTTATCAATTTTTTTTATTTGTTTTATTAATTAATTATCAATACTCAAGTATTGTTATCCAGTTAATATTAAAAATTAAAAAATACAATGATTATATTTATAATTGAACGTGTATATACTACTACTATTTTTAGAACAAATTTTTTTATTAAATCTCTTTATCTAAGATTATATTTTGTCACTGGTATAGTTTATCATAATTACCTCGCCTCCGGGAAGGCTGACGGTCACCAGGTCGCCCTTGGTGGCCTTAATTTCACCTTGCACGAAGCCCTCCTTCTCGTCAGGTACCCAGCAAGCTTTTTTACCATCGTAGGGCTTGCTTTGGTCGATACGTTTCTGTTCCAATGAGACGAACAGGTATGGGGTTGGATCGGGGTCCTCGCCCTCTTGTACTTGTGGCTTCGGCATTTTCGGAGGGCTAACGAGACTTTTGGGCTAGTGGAGACACGAGAACACAGCCCTGGAGCCTTCCTGTGAAGCACAACGCGCGTTACTGGACTGACTTCTTCCGCGATAGCGTAGCAAACCCCGTGCGTCTATTTGTAGTGGTAACTCGAGTAGCGGCCGATTTGGGAACAGCGCCAGCGCCGACGCCGTTTGCGCAATGCCCGACTTTTATGCGCTCGTTTTTATTAGCTATCCCGATCGGCCCTTCGCGGATGTTACGTCACGGATGTGCGAGGCTGGAGCGACGCCAGCGGATTCACCCGGTCGTGCTACGTTGCTTATTGTCTTTTATGGCAATGGATAGTATGATTCGAATTCCAATTGTCCTTCCGCCTCGATCGCTCTGTATGTTTTAATGAGTATGAATGTTCGTCTGTAACACTGATATTATATGTGTTTCATGTATGTTGTTAATTATATTATTGTCCAGGCGGAACGGCAATCAATTTGAATCATGAAGTTATAAATTAACCGTCAACACACTCAGCGCGAAACTACCATCACCATCAAACAATAAACAAACGGTATCCACTGGAGAGACCACTTGCACAAAATCCAAATCCAATTGGCAAACCAGCTGGCGCGTCCTTGTGACGTCACAGTCCTGACACACTCGCGATGACACTACACTAGCGCACGGGGCATGCACGTGCGTGCCTACTTACGTTTGATGCCGTTCTGACCGGTGGCGGGGCGCTCCGTTTCTTTTTATACCGGGAACACGACACCGCAGCGCCCGATCACCCCATTTTAGGCGGATGCTGGCCTGGGCGGCAGTTACGCTTTCAGACGAGGTTGATTTTCATTTCTCATTTGAGCGGGAGCGTGCGCGGACGCGGTCGCGTCTCAAATTTTTCGACGAATGTCGATTTCTATGCACTTTTGTATGTCTTATAATTAAAACGATTATAAGGGTAATTGTAATTATATGGATTAATTTATACCGTGAGAATTTGTGTAATTTTATAAATTATAAGCGATAAAATTTTAACTGTTGAAATAATCGTAAATTTTACGATTGTGTTCTACGAGCAATTTGTGACATAAGATAAATAGAGTAGAAGTCTTTTTTATCATAAGTTTAATAAGCATATATATAATTATGAACATACATGTCACGAATATATTTACACTCTCGCCGTTGATAGTTATTGTCATACGGGGCGACTGAGGCTTAAAATATAGACAGGTATATTTTTTATAGAATAAGCGTGACATATGAGCACACAGTCCACCTGATTGCAATATGTGGCTGTGGCCCATAGACATCTACATTTATCCTCAATTAAGAATCAAAATGCAGATGCGTTATCACCTCTGAGCACTAAGATGAAATGCCTCGTTTCCAGTAAACAGGGTCTTCGGTTCTCTACACTCTCAGGTAAGACAGCAGCTTTAAGCTAATATTTTACGCATATTTGTTACGTTTCTACGTTAAAAGTAAAAAGAATGACGATTATCGCTAATCTTCTCTATTCTAGAGGGAGAGAAAGAGGGATAGAGGGAGGAAAAGATTGATGAAGGACTTGATGTTGAGGGCGTGACGACTTGACTCACACACGTATTGGACTTCTTTTAAAATGACATTAAAATAATATCTAGTATCACCTGAGTTCGAAATTCGATAAATTGTGAGGAAGCAACAGTAAGAATTTGTCAACACAACTTTTTATGTAACGTTTTCTCGTGCAGGAAAGGCAATGCTTTCGAACTCAGGTGATACTAGATATTATTTTCATGTCATTTTACATTATATAATATAGATTATATATAATAATAATACTTTTGGTAATATATATGTAAAAGGTTCCACTTTTTTTGTTTTTTTATGATTCATTCCTTTATATATGGCATGGTGTTATACTTTTGTAGTAGGACTACTTTTTCATTTTCTAAATTGAGAGCTGTATTATTTTCCAGTGAGGGTTAGATTTAGTGGGTACATTTTGTTTTTATATATATATATATATATATATATATATATATATATATATATATATATCTTTATAATTTTAAAGTGATTTGTGTATTGTATAGTAAAAGCTTGCGAGCTTTATCTATTTCCAACCTGGAGACTATAATAAAATACTGACGAAGGCCGCGTAGCATTGAGACAAATTGACTTAAACGAATCTAATTTTGGAAGAATTTTTCATTAACACATTCTTTATTAAATTATTATTATTAGTTGTCGCAGCCGATGAGCAACGGGCACACATTTTATTATAGAATAAGGGTAACAAACGAGCACAAAGTCGACATGATTGTAAGATAATTCCCTTATTCATTTTAATCTGTATTCAATTTAGAAACAAAATGCAGATGCGTTGTCACCCCTTCGAACTAAGATTGAATGCCTTGCTTCCAGTAGAAAGCATTTCCGGTTCTCGACACTTGCCATACAAAACACAGCACCTTTAATTTTAGCAGCATTACGCTCTAGTATTTTGTGAGAGCGTGATCTTTTCCCGGTAGAGCCAACCCGCATGAGCTAAAACATGTCTTACCAGGTTACTCTATCACTCGATGTAGTGATCCGTTCTACACGCTACTCACCGATACGAGGCTACCCCTCCAGAACCTTTCTTCTGCAAAGATTATTGGTTATCAGAACTATATGGCCAGTCAATTTCCACTTCAGCTAACTGATTTATTGAGCTATGTCAGATAGTATGATTTTAGGGAAGTAGTTTACGTTTTAAATTCTATCCCGCAGAGCCACTCCGAGAGAGAGATAAAGCTATCTCCATAGTTTGCAGATAGATCATAATCTTCCTCTTCCTGTGTTTCAACGAGATAATTCTTATAAACCATTTATTGTATTCAATGGTTTCTTATATTCACGTAAACACTGCTCATTATCTAAAACTAATTTTACGAAGGTGTGCGATTCACTTCCGTCAATTAAGGACTTTAAGATATATTAAGTTCATTCTGCGTAACTCGGACCAAAATCAATTATTGAAAACGAAATGTATCCTGGGTGCCTCCTCCTGTGACAAATGTGCTGTACATCATTCGAAGCATCGTGAGTTAAAATAGGTTTAATTTAACGGGACAAATCCATAAAAGTATTTATATTCAACTTTTACTATATCATTTTAAACTGATAAAAACCTGAGATTTTCGGTCATTGCTTCTTCGTTTTAACAAACTTCATTTTAAAATAGTGTGGCAACTAATTAAAATAAATGAGTTACAAAAGAGCTAACAATCCATCTGAATTTATGTGGTTACAGCAGCACTTACCACCAATATAAATGAAAGGAAACCCATTGGTGCATTGTCACCCCTGAAAACTAAGATGGAGTGCTTCACAATACACTTGGCTCCTTAGAAAAATGTTATCCTTAGAGAAGGATTTTCTCCTATATTTAGAGGCGGTTTACATACATAAATCGCACAATCAAATATGCAAACCTGAAACAATTTACCATTTCCTGGTTTTTTAACATAATAAATAATAAGCGATTTTTAACCTTTGTTTGTTGCTCAAAAGTCAAAAATAATCTCCTAGTGGGCTAGAAGTGGGTCTTATTTAAGCGAGAAGTTTCAGTAATTGTCACACCTGGCTGGTGGGTTGACGAACGCTGCACTACACATTATGCATGTAGATGCTGTTGCTTGTCTGTAATTTAAAGGTTTGTCAATTCATTTTTGTTAAAATCTAACAAACACCCTATCATTTAACCTGACTACATAACTCCCATGCGATAATATCGGAAATACGCAGTGGCTGCAGTGCCAGACAAAGGGTTATTCATTCTATAAAAAAGGCTGCATTATGTAAAAAAGAAATAGGTACGTCCCGGATCACTAGATGGAGTGATACAGTGAACTGGTATGACATGCATGTTGTAAGGCTAAAAAAAACATCTCCTTTTACCTTCCCAGAGAGTACTCATAGTCAGGAAAGGAATGTACGGGAATTGGTATTACGTCTGCCCTATTTGTACTTGAGCAAATCTCGCAGACGTCTTAGAAGACAATTTTCACAGAGCGTAACATGTGTACTAGAATTGTTTCTCCCTAACAGGGATATTAGGGGTGTTATAGAAGAGGTCAAAATCCTTATAAGTAGTTCCAATAAGCTGGTGTTAAATGAAAATGATACTTGTTATACGTTTTAGGTTTTTTTTAGGATAAGGGTGACAAACGAGCAAACAGTCCACCTGATGGTAAGTGGTTGCTGCGGCCCATAGACATCTACATCAATCCTCGGTCACGAATCAAAATGCAGATGCGTTGTCACCCGTGAGGACTAAGATGGAATGTCTCTTTTCCAGTAAAAAGGGTCTCCGGTTCTACACTCACCACACGAAACATAGCAGCATTAAACTGCTATTTTACGCTGGTATTCTGTGAGAGCGAATGGGTCGGCTCTACGGGGAAGGACCCCCGTAGAGCCGACCCAGTCGTGCTGCAACTATACTACTAATCTAGCTACAGCATGGCTCTACCACATAATAAACTGTGCAGGACAAGGATAAAGTGCCCGTGTGTATGGGGAAGCACAGGCGCACCATCTATTTCCTCACTCTTATATTCCTGTGGGATGATAATCTAACACGACCAAGGCTCGGGCGTGTTAGATTACCGTCAACTATCTGACTCCGAACTACTACAGAAAATTTCGTGTTCAGAAAAACTCAATAACTGGTTTTAACCTGATCTAAGATTCGAACCCGTGACCTCATATTAATCTGTCGTGTTTACGATCACTAGACCAAAGAGGCATATAATTGGTAGAGCCACGCTGCAGTTATATTATGGTTATAGCACGAACGGGTCGGCTCTACCGGGGTAGGACCACGCTCTCACAGAAAATCAGCGTAAAATAACAGCTTAATGCTCAGGGGTGATAACGCATCAGCATTTTTATTTCGTTTTGATTTCTATGTCGTACATTTTCTGTAATTGTATTTTGACTATAAAGTAACAATAATTTAAGTTTTAAAATT